CTCTACAAAACCTGTTATCATTCTATGACAACAGCTGGACATATTGGCATTAACATTTCCAGTGCCATTGTGGGGTTCCTAAATGGCACACAAGATCAGGAGCAGAAATGCGTGAAGGAGAGCAGAGTCTGGGTCTAGTCTTGACTGGAGCCAGGTGATTTTGTGAAAACCACTTCCCCTCCTCAGCCTTACTATCTTCATCTGTAAAGGAGGGGTTGACAGTACTTGCTAGTCTCTAAGTTTCTGCCAGTCTTCACATTCTTGCATTCTATGACTCCAGCTAATTCGGGTTTTTCATAACCCTATGTCTCTCAAAGTTGTCATTAAGATGTCAAGTTTTCAGGTAGGTGAAATGAAACATAGAAGTGGGAGACTAGAACAAAGACTGACTCATAGCTTTCTGCTTCCATACTGAGTCACCTTGATTCTGAAAGAGTTGAACTGAAGAGGAACCTTCTAATTGCCAGTGCTGGGTTGGAATTTGAGAACTCCATTTCTATCTTCACTGCGTTTTAGAGTGAGCACTGGTGGAGAAAACTCACTTAGGAGACCAACATTGGCAGCAAAATGGTTTTCTCTTGTATAGGAGGCATTGAGAGCAAACTTTGCTGTAACTTTGTGGCTAAAATGTGACTACAATGGCCAAATCTTCACTAGGATGGCCCCAGTGTCCCCCATCATAAGCCTACAGATGAGCCCCACAACAGAAATGAGACATGAAATGTTCCCGATGGAGAGGACATCAGGTGATGAGACATAAGTGGCGTCATTTGAAATCATCAGTTTCAATTACCCCTTGGAATCTAGAGGCCTCAACAGTGGAGTGAGGATTCTGCATCTCCAAGGGTGAAGACGTTGATGGTGTTCCAGGATATACTCATGCTCTAGCCATCTCAATCTGGCCAAGTTTTAGTTGACCAGGATGTTTGGAGGGTCCTGAAAAGAAAAGAGTCAGAAATTCCATAGCAGACCAAACAGCAGAAGAAACTCAGTGAAGGGAAGAGTCCCTAGGGGCTTGGGATTTTCCAAAGCTCGAGAATTAAACCGGACAGATTCGCATGCAAGGATGACCTGACCTACAGGGCGAGGGCTTCAGGGAATTAAGCCGGGCACTGTTTATGCTTCTTGAAGCAGAGTCTGGGCAGAGGTTGTTGAGGAGCACAACATACCTATGGTGACAGGAGGAATAGGAGTCCCTGTGCTCGTGTGGATGATTCAAAAGTCTAGCTCTTCCTATGAAGCATGAGGGGAGAAACTAGAGTGTTAGATACCAGGTAGTGCAGTAAGGAAAAAAAGATGGCGAAATAGTATCACAGAGAAAACCAGAGGATTGAACTGGGCAGAAAAAGGGAAAGAGACAACAGAAGGAAGGCACTGGCAGGAAGGAAAATACAAGGCTACAGCTGTCAGGCAGAGAAGAGAGCTGGGCCACATGGAGAAGCAGAGTCGTGGAGAGGACAGGGAGACGCATTCAGTCAGTCAGTCAGGGAGCTGGCCATTCATTCAGCAAAAACTGGGAGGATGCCTTGAGATGCCAGCATTGTGCTGGGTTCTGGAGCCCCATGATCAAGCAACACTGACACGGTACCTGCTCAGATAGAGCTTACAACCCAGTGACTGGGTCAGAGGTGTCCATCTCTAAACCAGGCAGGTTTTACCCTGGTGCTCCGTGCAGTGATGGGTGGAGGACAGGGAGAAGCATGATCCAGCTGCCTCCCATTCTAAAAAGCATCATGGGGGCCGGTCGGGTGGCGCAGTGGTTAACTACGTGCGCTCCGCTGCAGCGGCCCAGGGTTCACAGGTTTGGATCCCGGCACGCACCGACACACCGCTTGTTAAGCCATGCTGTGGTGGCGTCCCATATAAAGTAGAGGAAGACGGGCACAAATGTTAGCCCAATCTTCCTCAAGAAAAAAGAGGAAGATTGGCATTGGATGTTAGCTCAGGGCTAGTCCTCCTCACAAAAAAATAAAATAAATAAAAAGCATCATCATCCTCAAGAAGAAAGGGATCTGAGGAGAATTTGAGGTTGAGAATAGAAATAATGGAGAGTTCAGAGAAGAGAGTGCGTGAGCAGGAAGGTTTGGACAGAGAAGAAGATAGTGGGGTCAGGGGCCCTGACTGGGACCAGGCAGCAACAGCTCTTTTCCAAGTCTGAACCCAGCTCAATGTCCCCTTCCTAGGAGAGGAAAAATGAAGGGAAGAAAGATCTGAGGATGTGGATAATGCAAATAAGGAGGGAGGGAAACAGCCCGTTGCTGTCTTTTCTTACCTTTTGGAAATTTCCTGAAGGAAGTACATTTATGAGTCCCTCTCCTAACCCCAGCCAGCAGCTGCTGAAAGAGAATCACCCCCACACACACAGAGAAGAAGAACACTGCAAGGAAAAATTGATCCCGTGACCTGCCCTGTGGAACTGTCAGATTGGGAGTGGGCAAATCGTGCTGGGCTTAGACCCACCTAGGTGCTGGCACACACTTCATGGGATAAACCAAATGGTGTCATTTATGGGAATGCCTCTGGCCCAGAAGAATCTAGAGATGTCTGGAGATGGCATCTAGAGCTATGCTTGGATTAGCAAGGCAATGTCCCTGGAGGGTTAAAGCTGGAGACCATCTAACATTCAAATCTTAGTGTAAATTCTTTTTAACCATCTCCCTTTCTCACCCTGTACCTCAGCTGCAGGGAGGAAATAGGTGTTTTGAGAAGGACACATAGAGGGGAAACTAGTATTTACCTCTGAAGCTGTGGACACAGCAAGAAGGCCAAAGCAAAAAGAGCCCAAGAGCTCACTCTGGATCAGCCAGACCTGGAAATAAGGGAGATTGAGGAGTAGGGGGCACTCGAGGGAGGGAAGAGGAATGGGAAGAGAGGGATTAAAAAAGTGTTGAGATTTATAAATGCAAAACTGGGCTCTGTAAGCAGAGAGTGTCCTTGAAGGAATTATGGGAAATTCCAAGGCTCCCAAATCATTTTATTAGCATTGACATTCGTAGTTCATATATTCTTTTTTTTTATTGAAATTCTTCAAATAAGGGAAATACACTCCTTTCTCTAGATGATTTACAGCTTTTGGTGTGCCCTGCTCATTATCTCATTAAGCCCAGGGCAAGGCGTGCCTTTGTGAAGCTGGTTCCCTTAATCATGTCACTGTGGCTATGGGGAAGAAACATTGGGCAATATACAGGCATCCTAACATAAGATGAATTTTTATGTTGTTAATGATAATTAAATTGTATGTAAAGTGTTTAGCCCAGAGTGCTCCAACCAGGCACTCAATAAGTAAATTTTGTTATTATTATAGGACAACATTAAAAGCTTTGGAGCTAAAGAATAATACTTTGTCACTTAACAGCCATCACTCATGTGTGTTAATTTCTTTGAGACACATTGAACTTAGCAGGGAGTGTGCTTTAGAGATAATAAATGCTCCCGTTGATCACTGTACCATTTTGTCTTCTTTGGTTCTGCAATATTTATGTTTGCTCTTTGTTTATATTTATGAGGTCCTCTACTAAATTTCAGGGCATTGTTTGCCAGAGCGGATTTTAAGCACACTCATCAGTTTGTCATGACTCTGATGGGTCCATAGAGCAGAAAATAAAGAACACTGGACTGGGAGTTCCATATCCCTTTATCCATCACTCTATTAGTACTGTAGCTGTCATGTTGGTGACAACCTCTTTAGTTATCATTTTTTTACTTAGAAATTGAGTAATTGAATTAAATAGTCCATAAGATTGTTCCTACTTTAAGGTTCCATGGTTTTGTTATTCTGCTGCCAAGAGCTATGTGATAGTTACTGTATGAGATGTAAAGAAACTTGATTCCTAGGCTGGCCCTGTGGCTTAGCGGTTAAGTGCGCGCGCTCTGCTACTGGCAGCCCGGGTTCGGACCCTGGGCGCACACCGACGCACCGCTTCTCCGACCATGCTGAGGCCGTGTCCCACATACAGCAACTAGAAGGATGTGCAACTATGACATACAACTA